GTCCTGCATGGCTCGGGCTCCGGTGTACTTTGAGAACTTTAACACTGCTCGTTGACCATATGGTCGAGCAGACACTGCAACTACATCTTCTGGATTATCCACAGCGACAATAACCCTTGCTGCGAGCTGGATCTTTTGCCAAGTTTTACCTAAATCTATAATATGGACGCCGTCTTCACGTCTTGCGTAGACGTATGGACTCATCAGAACATCACAGTTTTTGGTTCCGATGTGAGTAGAACAAACAAGCATTTTTTGAATGTCCTCTTGTTTTGAAGCAGTAACGACTCCAGCTGTCATGACTTCCCAACTTGAACACCGTCGCCGTAGAATCCAATAAAATTTAGATTCTTTCTTTGATGAGTCTTCGTTTCTTGTTGCAGCCGCCATCAAGCTCTTGTAAAGAATTCTATTGTAGAGGTAAAATAGAAGTTGTCAAGACGTGATATCTTATCTTCAATATGTCGGAATTTCATATGGGCGACATCTTGCTCGGGAAACAGAAACTACGGGCTTGTGTCTCTTTACAGATCGACGCTTCGATATCGGAAGCACTTTTAAGTCAAGGCATAGGTAAGCAGTGTCTTGACGAAACTTTGTTGACTGATTCCCGTTCAGTATTGTATTTTAGTTTTCCCATATATTACCTGAACGTCAATATTGAGTTTCTTTCTGCAGTGACTGATTTGGCACTGTTTGTGTGGAAGGTTTGCAATATTGAAATGTTGAGTTTGACTAGACTACTACTGAATCCGCTTCCCTACTATACCGGCTAACATCATTTTTATGGCCAACGAATCTTTCGTAAAGACCAAACTCAAGATACGAGGCAAAATGACGACATACAAGAATTATTCATTCCTTGCTTCCTTTGCATATCGAAGTTTCCCAAATGTTATGTCGATACTCTCGGTCTATGTTCTAAAAGCTAACAGCATTGATCTGTCTCTAAGCCTTGGCTAAACAGTTCCAAAAAATATCCACTCGCTAGACTTTACGGTCTAATACGCATAATAGCTCCCAGTGATCAGTTCCTGGAAAGAACAGAAATGCCTCTGCCTTTCGAAGTGTCCATTTACCGTTACGCTGAATGATTTCTAGGTCACGTTGGAGACTTTCAAACTTGCAGCTCACGTAAATGATTCGTTTAATAATATCATTGTCCCTAACTGAACTTAAACGTGCAGCCAAGGCATAATCCATTCCACTCCGAGGTGGGTCGACAATAATGACTTCAGAGAATCTGAGCTTGTCACGATGAGCGGCTGCAGTTCCTATAAAAAATTCAGCATTGTGCCTTTGCGAAGGAGTCAAAGCCCATGTAGCCTTCAAGTAAGCCTCTTTGGAAAGCCCATTTAGCTCACAAGCTCCAACAAGCTCCGCACCGGATAAATATGCCACTGGAATACCAATGGCACCGACTCCTGCATAGAATTCAAGCACCTTTGTTCTTGGTTCGATATATTTGCTGATTTCTTTAACAAGTTCTTTTAGCATTTCTATATTTGACTGACGAAAAACATAAGGGGGAAAATATATGTTGACACCACCGATAGATTCTAACGCATAGCGCTTACCACTGTACAAAAGCCAGCTTGACTGATCAAAATTGAAAATTCTATTTCCACGAGAAGTGTTAAAATTCAACCAAAGCGAATGAAACTTCGAACTTGATCTTTCCAGACTGCGCATGAAGCGCTTACATAACGGACCTGCCTCCTTTAGTCTAGGCGCATGCCAAACAAAAGCTGCTTGCAAAGTTTGTGAACGGTGTTCTACTGACATCTGAATATATCTCAACTGCCCTTCTTCTCTATCTTCATCATAGCCACTGACACCTGTCTCCTTCATTGCCTTTTTCACTGTTTCCATTTCACCGTTTATCAGAGGATGATGCACCCGGCAGTGAGGAATCTCAACCACACTGTGGGAGTCTTCCTTGAACAAACCTATTCTAGTTCTACCCTTGTCATCTCGTCTTACAGCCAGTCGTGCAACAGAGCGCCAACCATGGACTGGCGTATCAGAGTGAAACAACACTCGTACTTTCTGTTTCCAAAAGTATTCTTCAATTTTCTTAGAACAAGGGGGAGTGGTTAAGCTTTGTGCCAACAAACAACCGTCACAGAAAGAAAAGTGTTGGCAGTCCAGAGTATCCGAAACACTGGTGACTTTGCAGTTCTCCTGCCGCTTCTCTGTTTCTTGTAGATTACTTCTTGCTCCATGAAGAACTCTACACGAACGACAAATTTCACCTTTGAATATCGGAGAAAGGAAGAGTGAAGACGGTCTTCGTCTTCTCCTGTGCCCTTTCAAGTCCTCGCTACGTTCTCTGTTCAACGTCAAGGCTATCGGTATAAATGTCAAACTACTTCCTCTAGTCATTTCAATCTAAATAGGTGAGAAAACTTCGTATTCCTGTAACGTCGCCAAGCTGTTCCGAAGTGGCAGCAGCAACTATAGATTTATGCTTGCTGTTGCTAATGATAATTTATTACTACACTGAAGATTTGTCCACGGTATCTAGTGAAGTATCCCCACAGTATCCTTTTGTCTTTCTTGCTCAGAAAGGCGTGCAAATTTAGCAGAACGCTGTACAATCTGCAAAGTTAATGAATTATTGGGACGATAAGACAAGTTTCGCTTTGACTGAAGACCCCTATTTGTTACCAGATAATACCCTCATAAGATGGTTTTCCGCTAGTGAGGAACAGTTCAAGCTCCAAACAAATAATACACTTTCTTCAATTGTTCTTAAATATTAATGATTATATGTCGGTTGAGAAACTTATCAGGGAGTCGTAGAGAAGCAACATAGTCGCAATTAGAGACCAAAGATTGTGGCGTAGCAGGGATATGGTTACAGCTTAAAAGGAGATAGCTCAGGCTGTCATAAGTGGTAGCTATATAAGAAATCAACTATCTATCGATGGCTTTTGTGGTCCTCACATAACAGCTTACACCGATTATAAGGTCGTGTCACTTTTAAGTAGTTTTTATTTCAGTGAACAATCCTAAATAAATAAAACAATGAATTTTCTACCTTTACACCAACAACGAAGAAAACAGTGAAAGATAGAAATCCAGCACCTTCTCTTTATCGACTAAACGGCTATGCTATTCCCACGAAACTTGGGCTTCTATTATGAATGCCCCGAAGACCGAAAGGAAGTGGCGCCAAAAATTTTATGTCTACTGATTTGAACCTCAACGAAAACAAGTTAGTGGAGGCAGTTGCTCTGCTCATTGACCACATAAAACAGCTTTTGAGTCGGTTACAGAAATGCTCCTCTAAAGAATCTATCAGAGACTGTATTTATGAAGGAGAACTCAAAGAATCTCTCGTAGAGCTGTCCACAATACTCAGTCACACCGAAGGTCTTGAAACTTTATGTGAATGCTTTGTGAACTGGCAAATTGTGACTTCCGTTGTTACTCCTCTTCTTTTCTATGCTACTATAATTGAGGAACTAGAAATCCAAAGTTGTCTGCTGCAGATTCTCCTTCGGTTGGTTGAAATCCCTCAAAGTTTAGGCAACACAAACCAGTCGAAGGATCGATTAGCCAGCTATTTTACAACGCTAGAGAAAGCATTTATAGAACCAGTATTTACCACAGTATCCGGAAAAACGGTCACTGAATCTAAAGCCCTTCCAAAGAATCTGAATCTTCTTTGGTTCGTCGGCAAAATCCTTGTTGAAAACTTGAGCCTTGTGCTACTCGAAGGATGGTCGGGTGTCAGTAAATCTATTATAGGAGTCATACTATCGCTTATTGAAAGGCTGACATGTCAAGGAAAGGACTCAAAAACTTTCTATTCGACAAAACACTGTCGGAGCCCAATAAAAGAAGAGACAGTATCGTGGTTAGTTTCACTCAAGATATATGACGCGGTATTTGTATTCTTAAGTGCAGAAAGTGTGAGAGACAATATACCAAATACTATCTTGTGTCTTATGATAGGAGTAATTGCTGGACCTTGCTATTTCGTTATCCAATGCTTTGGTCCAGTTTTTATGAGTGCCAACGTTGCAGATCGTGGAGAAAGCTCTCAAAACAATGAAAACAAGCCTCATATTTCAAGTTCTGCCAAAGTGGATAACAGTAAGCGTTCAGAAAGAATCATGAGATGGAGCTCGCAACACAATTCGATGATACCCATTTTGAAATTTTATAAGGATGGAGAACGAAAATACGGTCATTGGGAAGAAAAGAAGGAAAGAAATATTGTGTCAATATGTGATGGTGTCTTGAAGCATGCAACAGCCTCATATAGACTTGAAGTTAGCCGTGATAATGGTCTAGTTGAGAGTTTTTCTTCCATCTGCCAAGAAGCTCCATATGGTCTGCCAAATGAAGTGTTATTATGCATAGAAGAACTGTTTGATTCTTGTATAGCCTTTATCCACAAATGGCTTCTAAATGGTTACACTAGTATACTGAGCAATGACTGTCCATACGTGAAAAAGCTGCCAATCTATCGGTTTCCTTCAATAGTTTCTTCTTACATTAGAATTGTTTACGCGGCAGCATTTTCGTCGGGCTCTATGATTGAGCATTTGGCGTATTTTTTGGACGAGCGCTGTCTTCATTTCTTAGTCAGGACGTTTTCTCGATTCGTAGAGTGGGAAGACTATGAAATGGAGCGTGCATTTCTTACAGCATTGGCCGATTATTTATGGATGTTGTTTGTTCTTGTATCGAGGAACGAAGGACTGATGCCTGAAAATTTCTCAAGTAGACAGCGAATCTTTGAATGTAATAAGTATCCACAATGGAAATTTCAGGCAAAGCAGCTCATAGAGGTATTCTTTGAGAAAGAAGAACTGCACAGTCCCGTTATCGCTTATTTCAAAAGCTTCAAAGCAAGGAAAGGACATTCTCGTCCATTCCTAGATTTATGCGTACAACTTTTATCTACTTTGATTGGATTGCATCAAGTATTAGAGCAAGTTTCGGGAGGTAATCTGAGTGTGGAAAGGACAAAACGGAAACGGCGGAAACAAGCTAATAACGATGAGGAATTGTCCGCTGTACGGAATATGGAAAGTCATGCCAAAAAAGTAGTCCATCGACCTTCTGACCTTTTAATGACTCCTTTGATACGTTCACAAACGTTCGAACTTCTGTTATTACCATTTCACAATATATTGTCAAACCATTTCGTATCTGAGGCAAAGAATGTGGCTATTCATAAATCACTTTCCATATTATGCAGATTATGTTACATGGCATTGAAAAGATTATGGAAAATAGCGTGTTCTCGTAAATTGAGGCCTCAGCTTTATTCTGCTACTTTCATCGCTTTCTTTTACGCCTTGACTTTGCCAGAAGCAGAGCTACGTTTTAGTATCGTTTTCAAAGATCATGGTGAATTTCTTTCGGGTCTAAGAAGTTTGTCGAAAGATATATCTGATTCTTTTGTCGAAACTTTTCGTCAAAACATTGTAGTTGCGGTAGATGCATTATTTCCAATGAACTCAGCAACATGTTCATATTATGAAAACATGACGAGGAGAGAAGAGACAGAATCAACGAGTCGCACAAGAAAGAAGCATAGAAAAGCACTTCGAAGATCAAATTTGGAGAGTTTGAGAACAGAGGAATCCTCACCCTCGATGAGAGTTTCTAGGACAGAGATAGACAATATTAATTATCTAGTGGAAGGATCAAATGATCAACTATCTTCTCAAAATTGTGTGAGAAGAAGAATCCGAGTGATCAATGATAATGATGATGACTAAGGCTATGAGGAATATTTTGTCTATTTAGGTAGAAAATGTGTTTGGGAATATCCTTTAACGAGTCACAGAGTGCAACTACAATGTTACTGTTCTCTCGATATTATGGTTATCATTCCTCAAAACTAACGTGGAAATCTTTTTTAGAAAGTTTTAAAGATTTGGAAAAAAACGATAAAGGCACCTTCTATCTGCCAAAAAGAACAACTTGGAGTAAACTTACAAGCGCAAAAGGTAAACAGCCACCAGTCAAGTTTATTCTGTCTAAGGACGAGTACGAGAGGAATAATAGGACTTTTCTTTTTCTAGCCTCTTGAAAACTATTGAGTTTTCACGAGTTAATCTGAAGAGTCAATTCATGTGAATAATACGATTTTTTGATCCATTAATTGCAAAAGCGGAACCAAAACGTTGACTATGTTGGTTCGCTATTTACAGTCTCTAGTTAGTTACACTGTCATAGGTGGGCCTCATAGATGCCTGAGTTCTTACAACCTAGTGACTCCTTTACCTGTGAATAAACGAAAACTGCTTTATAGAAGTAAACAGACCGGTTTCCTTGAACTTGATCTAATCCTTGGAAGTTGGGCTGAAGAGAACCTTCCAAAACTGTCCGAGTTAGAAGTCCAAGAGTACGAGAAGCTTATACACAGTGAAGTCCCCGACTTGTACTCGTGGCTGAGTGGTCAGCAGAAACCCCCAGAACAACTTGATGGAAACATTTTTCGTCGCATTCGCGAGTCAGTGCTAAATGGTACTGTCAACAAAAGCAAAAGAAATAACTAGCGTTGAGGTTGACTGTAATCTCTTGTTGTTGTTGTTGTTGTTGTTGTGTTATTTGGACAGATCTTTCGCTGGGTTTGTTGTCATAGTTTTGAAACATTGTAGCAGAAAAACTTTTCTAAACTAGTTATATACTTGTTGAGTACTCTTCTCCAGCCTTCTTTATCCAAGAAAACGACAAAATATGATGATAAAGAACTTCCTTCGAATAACTGAAATCAACGAGCTCGTCCTTCAACTGATCTTCTTCTTCCAGAGTTACGATTCTCTGTCGAGGAACGGTCTCTACGTTGATAGTCTCTCTCCTCATACGAGCGCATTGGACGGAAAGAATGCCTCCTGTTATCGTAACGATCTGGACTACTCCGTGCCTGTCCTTCTCCGTTGTGGTTGATATGAGGCTCTCTGTCAACTTCACGATAGCCTTCCCTTCTTGAAGCTTCTGGGAGACCACTTTTATCTCTATGTCGAGAATAATCGGAATCTACAGGAGAATGAATTCTTCTTTGTGGCAACTCTCTTCGTTCAGCAGCTCTTCGAGTTATAGGAGAGTTTTCCCTATCCCTTGGCGGGGTTGGCGACTCACGTCTGTGAGAATATTGCGGTGATCCTCCTTCCTGCGAAAAGTTTCTGTTACTTCCACCTATTTCACGTCTTCTCATCGTCCTATCCTTTTCATCGCCACGATATTCCCTACGCAAATCACGTCCAACTGGAGGACTACGAGTCATTCTGGAATACTCACTAACAAAACGTGACGGGCTTCTCTCTCGCTGAGGAGATAAAATCCGTGCGCCAGTCCTTCGGGAATAATATTTTCGTTCCGAGCCCACACGATAGTCAGCAAGCCTCCTTCTCTTGTCTTCACGATCCAGAGACCCTGATCTTGAACGAGGTGCCCTTCTTCTCGGGGGAGACGTGGAAGGATGTCGACGGGGTGAACGTCGTCTGTAACCAAAACGTGACTCTCGTTCACGAGGCAATCGTCTTCCCACACGGTTTGCAGTAACATATTCCACATGTAACTCCCTTCCGTCATCTAGGGTAAAATGATGCATTTTTTCATATGCAAAAGAAGCATCCTTTATGGAGGCAAAGGTAACAAAAGCATAGCTTCGAATAATTTCCACCTAGAGTGAGGGTAGTCAAAGGAAAACCTTGGTGCAAGACACTCACGTACATTAACGACCTTTCCGAACTGATCAAAAATACGCTCCAAGTCTCTCTCACGAAAGTACGAAGGAAAGTTCGTCACAAACAAGCTCTCGGTAGGATTTCGCTCTGCACGACGCTTCCTTTCTTCCTCTCTCTGCTTTACAAGAGAGGCATCTTTGGCATATTCGACCTTCAAAGTACGAAAACCAAACAGTTCTTCATTCTTTGTACCATTAAGTAGTCTGATTGCACGTTCAGCTTGTTCCCCATCCTCCAAGAAGACAAAAGCAAAACCTGACTTCAAGTCTACTCTAGCAATAGGTTGGAACTCTTCAAAAAGCTTCTGTATCTGGGGCACCGTAGCGTCAGGAGGTATATTTCCTACATAAAGCTGTCTGTGTCTAGTGCCATCCTCTTCGGCCTCGGAAGAAGGGTTGGAAACTTTGCCAAGAAGGTTCAACAAAAGCAAGGTTGGTTCAAGATAACTTTCTTACGAATTTTGTTCGAGGAATTCACTTCATCTCTCCTTAAAATCTCATCCTGCTCTGAACTACTTGACTTGTGGTCCTTACCGGGTTGGACAGGGGACCTACCTGCCTCCCAAGAAACCTCCGACATGTTTAACCAAAATTTGAATTTTTGTCATGAGCCTTTTTAGCATTTATTGTACAACGAGCCACTTATTGAGGACTTTTCTAAAGACTGAATAACTTCTAAAGTATAGTATCCAACAACCATTTTCAACGCTTAATACTGACAAGACACAATGAAAGGGCTAGAGGTAATATTGATCAAAAGGTCTCTCTGCGGCATTTCCTTCGGATGGTGGCTGCCCCACTCTTTCAGAACTATCCAAAGGCCTCAAAAGGTCAAGTTGACGCAAGCGACGCTCCTGATAGTATTCAATCTGTTCCAAACCAGCAAGGTAACGTTCGAAGTATTCTATTGTTCTTTTCAAAACAGCTTCTTCCATCCATTTTATTATCGAAACCATTTTCTTTCGGATTTCAGGAGAGTCTTTCATACCTCTTTCAATAATTTCCAAGGAAACTGGATGCCACCTTTCTAAGGACTCTTCACAAGTCTGGATAACTAACTCGCAGACTGCTTTCTCATTATTGTAACTAAATGGTAGCTGAAGATGTGACCAAACTTCGGAACGAAAAACAGATTCTAAAATAAATGAATCTTTGTCTTTCAAACAAATCAAACGCAGAAATGGCAAAATTCGCTGCAACAATTCTTTGCTCATATCATATCTTAACTCAAAAGTTTGAAGTAACTCTAGTCTTTGAGCATCTAAAATGTCCTCTTTGTCATCAAAAAATTGATCTGTTGTAGTAACTGCAAAAGATATTTCATAAGACCCCATCTTTAACAACTGCTCCTCATCCAAAGCTCCCAAATCCAACTTCCAACCCCATCGACAAAAGGTATCTATAAGACTAACATTTCCTTCATATACAAGAGAAACCGGTTCACCAACTTTCAAGTCTTCCGAAGCCGTAATCTTTAAGCGACGCTCCTGCGTAAAAAAAGGCCCAACCCGTATTAAACTGACATTGCTAATATGGAAATACTGACGGAAAAAGCTCTCCTCCGTAATCAAACTGTATTTGTAAGTCAACCACTCAAGACCAGGCACTATAACGAGGGGACAAGAATCCATAATATCATACAATCCAAAGGATTGCACAATACTCAAAGCCCACGTAAAATATGGCAGAGTAAAATACTTAACGTCGTACTGAGGATACAAAAACTTTGGGAATAGTTCCGTATTTAACTCTTCAAAAACAAGCGACGCAGTTTCTCGAAGAGAAAGAATATCTTCAAAAGTTGAACTAGACTCCAAGTATTGTGTCTCAGCTGTCGACCACACAAGAAAGTGGTGCAGTTCATCCGAACTAGGAAGAGTCTCTATCCAAGGTTTCCAAAAGGAAGTTTCTTTTCTAGCAGTTTCCACTAACAGCAAAGCAGCAATTGCTTCCTCATCGCTCAAATCCGAAACGTGAAAGCCCAAAAGTTTCTCTGACAACTGCTTGGTGAGCCAAAACCTTTCCGGAATAGCAAGAACTTCTTCACCCAACTTCAGAGGAATCTTTGCACGAAAAGTTCGACAGTTGTGAGGACTTAATACTGGCTTTCCTTTGATACTCGGAACTCCATTATCAAACAACCAGTTTTCCAATTCCTCCGTCTTCTCTAGAAAAGTGGCTTTAATCCTCCACCACGTAGAACTTCGTATCTTCTTCCTCAAAACATAGAAGAACTGAGGCCGCATCGTTTTCGACACTCTATATCCTCGAGGTATACCATAAAGTGAAGTTCGCTGTACATTATTTGCAGTGTACGTGGAGTTTCTACAACGGCAGTCCACCAGAGTAACTTTATTATAAAACGCTACGAAATTCATGCTTAGGATCCAAAATTCATAATCTGAGAATGAAGTTTGGGAAAGTTGGTCATGTCCAATAGAACGAAAACAATGGCAAAATCCGTAAGTTTATACAAAAATTTAACATTTACACAGTGTTTTATTACTCTTTCCTTGAGTAAGTTGGCATTCCAATGACGTGTAAATACAATCACTCAAACTTTCGTTAAAAGAACGCACTGGCATTAACAGTGAAACAGTATAGTCACAATTCCCCTTGGACGGGTCCGGACAAGATGAGTTTTCTATCACGTTTTCAGGTAGCACTGAGACCAAATCTCTGGTAATTACCAACATGGTTGGACTGCCCCTTCTGTGGGTAATCCAAGAGGCATAGGAGCGTAGAAAATCTTCTGCTTTCTGATGTGTTACCAAGTTGTGTACATCTTCGGGGGATGGATCAGCCAATTGCATTGCAGCCTCTACTGCTCTTCTTATCCAATGTTCAGTAGAAGGATCATAGCTCTTCCTCACAGCTGGGAAAAAACTGTCAAAATGAGTTTCACCCCTTACAACTTGTTTCGTTTGAGAAGTACCAACCAACTCACTTGGACTTCTCTCTTCCATATAAGGAATATATTTCGCTATGGCTGTCACCGGTTTGCTTCCATTTTTCCACACAATACCAACATAATTCTTATCCAAATAGGACTGCCTGCGGAAAAAGTACGGGAGTATGAAAAAACCTAAAATTATACTGAAGCAAAAGAGAGTCTTGGACTTCAAAGTTCGTTTTCGTCGTTCTGCTTTCGTTGTAGACGGGTTACACTTTGCAGAAATAGTTTCACTATCGACTGCAACGGCTTCTTCTGGTCTCTGCCTTTTGTTACCAGTTTTCGCAGATTTGAACACTAAAGTCTTATTTTCTTGTAAATGTTGTAGCTGTGACCGAAGGATTTCATTCTCTTGGGAAATACGACCCATATGTTTTCGTAAGTCGTGGTTTTCACTTTTTAACAGGTCGACTTGAAACTGTAGTTTTTCTATAAGTGGAAACAGCTGTTGTTCACGTTCACGTTTACAGCAACTTCCATTTGACTGCAAATTCTTGCAAGCTTCAGCTTCATCGTCAAGGTTAGTCGACGAGCCTACAGAAGACCATGAGAGACTCTCTTTCACACAAGTCGTTTCAGGAACAGAGTCTGTAACAGGCGTATTTACGAAGCTGTTATTCTGGTCTATTAGAAGCTCTTTGTCTCTCTCCGGTGTTTTATTGTAACCTGAAGTATAGGAAAACGCTCCATGAGGTGCAACCTTCGGTTGCCAGAGACACTCCTCTTCGGCATAGTGTTTCAGTTCCAAATCTGCAAAACTATCCTCACGAAAGTTCCCATAGAAACAAAACTCAGAACTGGTCAAAGCTTCTCCGTTACATACTTCCTCCTGTCCCTGAAGGCTTTCAAGGCTGTCAAAAAAGTTGTCCATGTCTCCTCCTTCCATTAAACCAAATAATAGATAATTCTGTGAAAATGGTTTGGGCCTCAGTACTTTATTTCAGTAACAAAATAACATGCCTATATCGCTATTGAACAAACTCTAAACGTGAGAACTTTTCCCTATATATTGCGCAGGAGGAAGTTTCTTCAAAACTCTTTCACGATACTCCTCAAAAGAGCCATCAAAATGCGTCAGTTTGCCATTTTTGCATACAAATATGTCGTCACAAACTTGAGATATTAGTCTTGCATCGTGGCTTACTAGAACAATTCCTCCTTGAAAGGAATTGAGCGCCTCCACCAGGCTGTCAATAGTTTCCTATTCATATTACAAGTTAACAAATGAACTATAAAGTTTTATATCAATCTAACGACAACTTACAATATCCACTAAAAACACCACATTTAAGTTAAGAATGTAAACAAAAAAACAATAACTTACAGTGGTTTGTAGGTTCATCCAGTGCAAGAATATGTGGCCTTTTGAAGGTAATAACAGCCAAAGCAACGCGACTCTTTTGTCCACCAGAAAGAGTGAAAATTGGTCGCAGTGCCATTTCTCCCTTAATACCCATGTTGCTCAAATGTCCACGAAGAAGTGTATGGTCAGCATCAGGAAAACAATGTATCAAGTGCTCCAATGGTGTTCTAGCAAGAACCAAGTGCTCCACATGGTGCTGTGAAAAGTATCCCAAGCGCATCTTTGGTGACTTGCGTACCTCACCCAAAAAAGGAACATGTTCTCCAGTTATGAGTTTTAAAAAAGTGGTCTAGAAAAGTTAAATAAAATTATTCATGCATAAATGATACAACATTTACTTACCTTCCCCGCGCCATTTGGACCAACTATGGCATATCTTGAGTCCGTTGCTACACAGAAATCAACTTGGTCGAGAATCAAACGACCCTCAGAGTCTATTTTCTTCAAAGAAGATTTCAAAGGTGGCGAATCATAGCCGAATGAAACGTTGCTAAGTTGTAAAGTTGCATGGCTACCAACAAGAGGACCAGGATCCGGGAAGAAGAAAGCATGTTGTTCTTCCTCTTCAGGTACATAGACTCGGTTCTGCTGAATCTTTTCGATTGCCTTCAAACGACTCTGTGCTAATGATGCACGTTTGGCATTGTACCGAAAACGATCCACAAACTGCTGCATATGCTTCATCTTCATTTCTTGATTGGCTGCCTGTCTTTCCAAGTCTTTTACCCTTTCCTTTCGAGCTCTTTCAAAGTCATCGTAATTTCCGGAATAGTAACAGAGAGACTTGTCATTCAGATGAATTACATCTGTACAAATGTGATTTAAAAAGTCTCTATCGTGCGAAACCACACAGAGAGTATGTGGCCACTGTTGCAAGTAATTGGCTAACCATAAGACTGTGTGTAAATCGAGCTGTTGATAAGTTACGAAATTAGTAAAACTATTTTTTGAGTACAAGACCCACAACTTACATGATTGCTAGGTTCATCTAAAAGCTTTTATAGAAGTTAGAAAAGAAGTGATATCCCCAACATTGATCTTACCAATAATTCAGGTTCACAAAACAAAGCTTGTGCTATTGCAATTCTCATTCTCCATCCACCTGAATACTGTTTCGAAGGCTGTTGTTGCATTTCATTATTAAAACCAAGTCCTGCAAGAATAGCACTAGCTCTAGACTCTGCTTTATCCGCTTGCAATAAAGACATTCTTTCGTAAGTTGCCGAAATATCCTTCGAGTCCACACTATCCTCAGATGAGTTTTGATAACTGAGTATTTTCTCAGTCAGTTGTCTTCTTTCCTCGTCACTCTCCAACACATATTGTAAAGGAGTACGTTCATCACCCACAACTTCTTGTTCTACATACAGAACTGACATATCGGATGGAATTGGAAGGTCTCTATGAGCGATGGCCTTCATAAGTGTGCTCTTACCCACACCATTTCTACCAACTATACCATATCTACGTCCGTAAGTCAAAATCAAGTTCACGTTGCTCAGCAATTCTAAACCCCCGAAAGATAAGTCAAGACCATCTATCTTAATATCTCGAACACCTTCCTGAGTTTGTTTTGTGCTTGACGAAAGCGAGACTGTTGCGGATTCGGCGAAAGAACTTTGGTAGGGTTTCCCACTTCGCTTTGCTTTACGTTCCCTTGCCATATCTCTAGCCAAAGCAGCTTCCTTAGAACGATCGAGTGTTTCGTTGGCATTTCCACCCATAGAGCCTTTTGTTTGAGTTACTCCGACTAGGTTCTCAAGTCTCTTTGAGTTTTGATCGGCTTGTCTTTCTCCAAATTTGTCTGCAAGGCGCACAGGGCGGCTTAGTCTTGCTAGAGTTTCTTCTTCCTCTTCATCGGCTTCCAGAAGATCGGGATGCAGATCTGTATAAAGTTCTGTAATCTGTTCCTTAGGAGAGTTGGCACCAAATTCGGTAAAAATAGGAGTTAACCTAGAAACCAGGTTACTTCATATTAGAATCACATACAGGCTTTCTCACGCGTTTATCAGTTCTATAAGTTCGAAGGAGGGTTCTTCAAACACCTCGGACAGATATCGAACTACCACTTCGTCCGCTTTTGGAACACATATTTGTAGTTTCGACCGCAGTATACTGGAGCTCATCGCTAATTCTTGCGATTCTGAGAGGAAAAGTTTTGTGGGTAACAAATTTTTTTTTTCACTTTCATCGACCAATCAATCAATCAAACAAGAATCAACAGCATCAAAAGCATTAATATTGAAAAAATCCGTTGCATCTTGTATGGCTTTTGCAATAAAACAGTCAGTTATTATCACTTTGAAATGGTGAATAATACATGTATTGTTTTTTCGATTTTCATCAAAGTTGTCTGTAAACCATTAAGTTCCTTCCTTCCAGATATGATGCAAATATCCATATACTATAACTTTTGCTGTCACAAGAATCATCCATTACTTTAGGCATGTCTTGCTTGCAAAATAGCATTCCTTTCCATTGCATTTCCTGGTGACAGTGAGGTTATTTCCTCCAATGGACTCGTTTCTTTGTGTTGAACAGCCGTTTTTTTTATACCAACCCTGCAGCTAGTGCTTCTGCAGTATCAGAGTTCAGAACATGAAAGAATAGCTGACCAAAAAGATTCGATTATAGTCTCCAAGTCTGATTGAAACCATAATTAGAATAACATAACACTTGAAGAGACCAACTTCGGAACTTCTTTCCACAGAAAGATAAGATTACTTTAGTATAGTTGACTACATTTTCTGAGATATCCTTCCGAGATGTGAGGCGATTGCTCTTCAAAGTATTGTCCACGGTAAAACAGTTCTCTTTGCCAGGGTTATAAAAGTGGTTCTGGAGACTACTGATGACTACTCAGATAAGCCTTCACCATATCAAGCACGTCGCATAGACAACAATGTTTTCCAGATTCGAGTTTCAGCGCTCAGTCAACATGTAGTTTTCATTTCATTTTCGATAAACAACTGGTATAGTTTGAGAAAACTCACTTGTTTGAACAGCTTCGAACTTGCATGGTCGCTTAAAAAACATTCTGTCCGGGTTGGAACAGATCAACCGAGTGCTACTTATTCTCTCTTACAATTTTGTCTTCTGGAAACGACATAATCCACAGCCCATATTGCAACTCAGAGAACAGTGTTATACGAATAGTTCTTCCCAATCCAACAGACCATGCTATCGAGTCTTTGAAGTTCCAAGATGCCGAGGTCAGCAAATATTAAAACTCAGGCTCTCTAACTACATTTCTGTAACTACTAAATACTTGAAGTGCTATCTTGCAGATGTGAGTTTCTAACCTCTGAAGTCCTTAAAATCACTCTGGTTTTACGACTTTAAACTGTATCGATCCGAGAAGACAACCGTAGGGCAATGTCAATTCTTAACAATCTAATTGAAGGAGACCTACAAGTAGGAATGAAGTCGTTCGCCAAAGACACTTCATAAGAAATTATGTAAAACATGTTCCTTCTTGGTACTAGTTATAACAGCTTTCTTAGAGTTTCTTTCTGCTTCTTGAAATTTTTTCAAAGTCTTGGACGCGATCAGTTGGAACAAGTACAAAATTGGTACTCAATAGTGCTGAACTTTCACAAGCTTTCTTGACGAGTTATAAAAACACCAGTTGACCGGGCGACATTTCAAACTATGAACGGAATAGTCAACCACATATGTTGGACGAATCACAGTCTTGTTTTTGCAGTGCGGAAAGAAGAGCAACCATATCAAAGACCTCTTCGAAATCTTGTGCTCTCGTTCCGTAGCTGCGCGTTTGAAAACCTCATCGTTAAAAGTGAATGAGAATATACTTCAATTCTCAACTGCTCGATATTCTTATAATATTACAGCCTGCGAAAGTTTCTGTTGTAGGCAGTGTTCTTTATTACACGAGGAAAAGTTATTCATGTAGTTGTTTGAAAATACTATTTTCTTGAGTATTTGAATTTTTATATAAGGCATCTTGAATATGAAACAGTATAAGGAACAAGCAGATTGCTATCATCAACGAAAGAATAGTTATTACAACAGCATTCGAACGAGTATTCGAATGATAATCTTCTAATATGACGTTTTACAAGGTCCAACTGCAACAACTGCTGATGTAGAATTATTACGAAGCTACTGACATTAGACTGTAATGTAAAAGAATATTCTTGCCGACACGTCGACTTAGGCTTTCATGATACGATTCTACGCTAGTCACTAGCTGCTGATAAACATTCATGAAAGTGATTCATTTTTATCAGATCTCATGGCTCTAGTTGTTTCCACCCTTAAAACATGTTCTGGAGAACTCGACCGAATAGACTCGTTAGGATAGGAAACTCTTTGAAAGCAAAATGAAATCCGGAAATAATTGTTTACTTAAAGGAGGTCTTTGCCTCTTTTTTATCGCTGTCAAAGAATGTTGTGGCGTTGAATCCTGAAAACATCTACGAACATCCTTGAAACTTTTAGTTATATTCATTCAAGGAACGGAAAAAAGAAAATGAAAAAAGCTAGGTAGCCGCAAAACTGTCCAAAATTTTTAGTCAAATAAAAAAAATTAGACTTTATGTACGTGGTACATGTACAAAGCAAGACATTAGTGTTTTAAAAGATTACATTCATATAAAGAAACTTTTCACCAAACTACCTAACGGCGTAGATCCGCTGTCAGTTGACGTATTGAATACAATAGGAAGATACATTTATCACGCCTTTCATGAAGTTCGAGAGCATATTTTCTTAAGTCTGTCATATAGGAAGCTAGTTGTTGTAAACGCTCTTTCACTTCTTGTCTTCGTCTCTTAAGGTGTTCAAGCCTTTCATATCTCTTTTTCCTCGATAACACAGCATTTTGTCTGTTTCGCATCTTTCTTCTCTCTAACCGTTCTTCTGGAGTAAGATTTTTCAGCGACTCCAAATGTTTTTGTCGAAGCAACCTAACCTCATCCTTCGACGCACAAGGAGGTGGAGAAAATACTGGAGGTTGTCCTACAACAACATATCTATCCTTCTCGATAGGTCGAAGTTTACTTTCGGTACTCGTTTCAGTGTTGTCAACAATTTGGTTCAAAGAATAAGCACTACAGTTCGAAGTGTTCCAAGACGAAGACTCAGTCCCCATATCAGCCAAAGTCTCTACCGCGCTCGGCCCCGTATCAAGGTTCTTTTTAATATCAATCGACTGCACATTTTCACACTGTGCATACCGTACTTTCTCCTCCGAGTGCCAGTCTTTTGAAAGGCAGTCCTCCCAGAAATCGCGTTGGCTGCCGTAATTACTAGAAACGTCCGAGAAGTACTCCGAAAACGAAGTGTGGGGATGCTCACCTAGTATTTCCGCCAAAAACGCATCAAGTTGGTCAATATGCGCACAGTGTCCGTCTTCATTTCTAGTATCACAAGCCTCACAAGCTTCAAGATGTGAGCTGAGATCAATCTTCCTTGGGCGTTCTACACAGCCTTCATGAATACAAGGCACCGGTAAAAAAGAGCAATTCAACTCGTGAGAGACTAGTTCCTTCCGCGCTGGACGTTGATCACAACCAGAAAAGGGACAAGGTACTGGAATGGCATCACAGAACAGTTCGTGACCAGGTATTGAGGCCTTTGAAAACAATTCACCACAGCCGTCACCATACGGACCACCACAAGGAATGTTCTCATAGAAGTAAGAAGAAGTAGAAGACAAAGAACACAAGTCTAAAGTGTCGTAGGGATGATGTTCCATACAATTTCAGAAGACAACAGGAAATGGCCCAAACAAAATCATTGCTGTAAAATTGAGTTGTGCAATGATTTCCAATTCAGTTATTGAGTTGTGTACGTCTATGTAAACTTAACTGGAAATATGAAGGTTGTGGAATTATTTGAAATAATGAATAGCAGTAAAAACCATATTCAAATACCCAACATAGCAGGTGACGAAGGAACGTTGCAAAGTTTTGCCATTCAGGAAATCTAGTGCATTTCTATTTTGAAAATAGTGCAGGAGTCAATCCGAAGCCTCCAAAAGAAACTAGTTACTATGAGAAAATATAGGCTCTACAACAAGGAACGAATTAGTCTTGCTTTTCTCAAGTAGAAAAGAAAGAATAGTTCCAATTGTTTTTCTAAAGCTTCCTTTCTCGGAAAGTCTGTTTTATCCATTTTTAATATGACAAGGCTTGGGCAGAATTGCGTACAAGGATCTTGATTGTTATTACTAATATAGTTACTATTTCGAATAAGAAGCCAGAAGTATTGAATTTGAAGTCAAGTGTCTTTATCTCGAGATATTTTCTACATCATGCCATTCTCAAAGATGTCAGAACAAATATCTTATTTCCTGCGTTATAATTGATTGATATTGATACTGTACTTTTACAAACATGAATCAAAATCTTCAAGGCGAGTCGTTGTTACCAATACAGTGGTAGGTGAAAACGGTTTCAGATGCTATGCTTCTTCCCAAAAAACCTATCCATGAACACCAGTTCCAGTAAATATTGCATTAAACAGTTCAAATTGTTCGAATCAGTTGCGTTGTTATGCAAGATAGAAACACAGCAGAAACAAAAGTGTTAGGAACTATAAAGTCTTGTACGCTGATGTGGACCAAAAACCATTTCTTCCACGTCAACCTGGATGTCTCCTATCCATCGCTGTTGGAGAAACTTCTCAAAACATTTCACAGCAATAGAAAGGCCAAAAGTAAACCGATACTTCTCAATTGCATACGTTCCATTTGATCTTTCCAACTACTCATTTGCAGTTATCGCACATTAGCATAGTTGCTTTGAGAGGTTGATTTATTAGAATAGATCACAAAAGCTACACTATTGTCATAAGAATAACAGACAAATTTTTGGTCTATTTATATATTGTTTGCCCCCTTTGAGAACCAGGTTTCTTTCGACTGGCTTCTTTCTATATGGAAAAGCAGAACTTCGAGGAAACAATATACGGTGACCCTTCTCGGCAAGAAGAGAAGCTTCCAGAAAACCCTACTCCTTCTGAAAAAGTCAAATTGGCTTCTAAACACAAAGAGCGAGGAACTCGTTTTCTAGTGCAGGGAAAGCTGGAGGAAGCACTTGTTGAGTTGGATAGAGCTTTTGTCTTTGTATTCAGTCCCCGTGACGAGTGGGAATTGCTATATTCTAATGAAGATCGTGAAGTTATCAACCGCTTCAAGGTTCCTTGTCATTTGAATAGAGGTTTGTGTAAGTGGAAACTGGGAAAGCTAGAAGATGCACTTTGGGACTTTGACGAAACTCTGCGACTGGATCCTACAAATATCAAGGCATTATATCGAAGAGGCTCAATATACTTACAACTGGTTGAACGAGAATTGCAGAAAGAAGAAGAGAAAGAGTTATGGGATCCTGAGAAAGCTGGTACGTTTTTACTTTTGCAGGTGTGTACCTTTGTCGATTAAATTGTTTGCTCTTTCAAGAAAAGTTGTTGAGTCAAGCAAAACATGATCTTAGAAGAGCATATGGGTTACTGCCAGGCGACTCTTCAATTATTGCATCTTTGCACGCTGCCAAGGTCCAAGAACAGAAGCTTTCAACAGCTATCAGAGAATATCGTCTACAACAGAGAAAAATATTCTCTTTTGCATTCAAAAAACTTGAAGAAAAGAACAGCAAAGAAGAAGCAACTGAAGAAGAACTACCGAAACTTGAAAGGATTTCATTAGATACCTTTTAGACTCAGCTTTTTTAAGATTGTTCGATTCTTCCTGTGTAAGGTTCTTTTAAAGGGAAATCTTTTATGAAAGAGAAACGCTAAAAGTTTTTATGCTTGTTGCATGCGAAAGACCGAATGCAGTAGTTACTAAGCTGTTGTATTTAGTTCATGCAAGATTATGTGATGAGAGTCAATTTTTTTCGTAACGCTTATTATGTGATGATGTTACTTAGCTTCCGCTCGTCCTTAACCTTTTGTTGTATACGACATCCCCGAAACATCATGAGCGTAACTTGACACGTGAAATCGAGGAGTGCCATGTCTCTGAAGGAGAACGAAGAACTCAAACGTGGTTCATGCATAGCTATTCCAAAGAAGTCTGTTCTTTAGCATGTTCCATTTCAACTATTGGTTTCTTTTCTAGTTTAAAAAAGCGATTTTTCTAATGAGTCCCACAGAGCTGTGAATTGGTCAAGATGGCTCTAATTGTAACTTTATTGGGTTAGCTTCTTTTCGCAAACAGAATATGGTTCTTCCATCTTCAAAGTATACTTATTTGATACAATTGCTATTTATTCTTTGTCACAGGAAATGATACAAGCTAGTTCTCGACATAGGTCGATTTGATTGGAAAGCTATATTCTTGTAACTTCTTTCTGTAGAAAGAATGTATCTCAAAATCCCGAGGATTCTCTAAAAGGCGAAACAACCTCAAAATTTATTAAAGCATCTGAATTCTTAGTCTATTGGATTCTGTTGTTATACATATTTACTGTCTTGGTGGCTCAGTCGGTAGAATAGAAAAGCCGCAAGCGTAGGTCTCATAATCCTAAGGTCGTGAGTTCGATCCTCACCCAAGGCAAACATTGTTGTTTGGCTCTCTGAAAATTCCAAGACAAGGAGTGACGATCTTGCGTCTCTTTTTGGTTTGTCTCGAGAACTAAACAGAAGAGACTGTGGATTTGAAAGGAAGTTGTTCAAATACAGAAAAAATTAATGTCAAGTTGAAATTTTCTTGTATCTGTTCTATTGAGCAATCCAACGTAGCTGTCGACGGTTGACAGTTGTTTAGTTTTTTTCTGTATTGGTTCTCTGGGGTCACCTTGACTCGTTTATTAACCAAGAGTCTATTTCTCAAGGAACTGATTTCTATGTACGATTTGCTGGCTCACCCAAAGTAACACGCTGTGAAAACATTAATCTCAGCGTTGGTTCTGATAGGAGAATTTTCAAGTCGACAGACAACCCGTCTTAGCCGAGTTGGTGCTTGTTAACTGGGAGGAGAGCAACTTCTAACTCCTTACAAAGCAGATTCCAGTTCATATGAG